GGAGCCAGGCAGAAGGAGAAATCCTACACAAAACAGGCTCTAGAGCAATGTGGATATCCTAACTGGGCCTTCCTGAAAGCAGAGAAGAAACCCAAACAGGACTCCAGTCAGCCATCAGGTGAAAAGGAGGAACCCAGACCCAGACCAGTGGTCATTCCGTATGTTGAGGGAGTATCAGAGAAACTGAGACGTTTATTTTCTAAACATAACGTCCCAGTGGCTTTTAAACCCCAAAATACATTACGGCAAAGACTGGTTCATCCCAAAGATCCAGTCCCCCGGCACAAACAGAGTAATGTTGTGTATGCTGTTCAGTGTCAGGAGGGCTGTGATCAGTCTTACATCGGGGAAACTAAACAGCCACTGGCCAAAAGGATGGACCAGCACAGAAGATCAACATCATCAGGCCAGGACTCTGAGGTCTACACTCATCTCCAGGTCAGAGGTCACTCTTTCAGGGATGAAGATGTTCACATCCTGGACAGAGAGGAACGATGGTTTGAGAGAGGAGTAAAGGAGGCCATCTTTGTGAAAAGAAACCGTCCATCATTAAACAGGGGTGGAGCCTCCAGGTTCAACTGTCCCCCTCTTACAATGCTGTGATTGCTAGTATCACTCAGCCCTCTGTGAACAGTAAACAGCCATCAGGTGCTAATGATCCATTGTTAGGCTGATGGTCCTTCTTGATCATGTGATCAGCTGGTTCTGGTTGTCAGCAGCAAACTGGTTGATCCACTCTGAGAAGGTGCTATTTAAGAGACTGAGCTGAATACAGCACCTCAGACTGAGGAAGTCCTCAGGATGAGAGACGAAACGTTTCTACATTTTTTTTTGCTTTGTTTAGTTTTTTTGAATGTCCAGAGGACCAGATTTAACTTTTTTAGATTTTTCTACCTGGATTATTGAGCAGCATCAGGATATTACTAGTTATAATAGGTACATAATATCTGTATATTACTCATCATACACTAATGAAAATTAAACCTAATTAATATTTGATAAAACAACAAAACTTGAAGGTGAAGGCTTTAATGTTGTTCGTCGTACTGGTCTTGTGTCGTCCGTCGTACTGGTCTCGTGTCGTCCGTCGTACTGGTCTCG